TATAAAATGCAAGTCAGAAAGTGATGCACCCGGAGGGCGATATACGCAGATGATCGCCCACCCGCCGACCGCGAGAAAGATGGAGAGACACAGCAACAATGTTAGTAAGAATACTCACCAGCGGAACGCCCAAGCCGATCGGAGAGAATTAGAGAGACTCATCAATATACGAGTATAGCGCGACATCGCTTCCGCGGCGGCCTGTGGATCTGTCCGAGTGAACGAGCACGTAGTTATCTATGTCGACGGATCCAGAGTTCGTCGAATTACGCAGCCAAATCTCTCCGACGGCCAGAATATCCAAACGATGGAAGGCGATAACGTATCTGACCAACATGCGACACAAACGACCTAACGTTGATGTGCGCAACACGCAGTCTGCATTGCGACACCCGATTCCGAATCCGAAAATTGAAACGGATCTGCAAGAAGTCATGCAGGGCCATCTCCACCAAACGCAAGCGGCGGGGATAGGGAAGCAAGATAAGAGGGAGCGGACGGGGGGTGAAACGGACCTGGGGATGGAGAGAAGTGAACCCGGGGAGGTGTAACAATACGAGGGCGTATTATCCTTGACATGAAAATAGGTGATCCCCCTACGTATCCAAATACGCCTAACACTATGCGCTGCCGCCAGTCGACGAGCCTCAGTAAAAGTGCGCCGCTCAGACGCTGTAACCTGTTCGCAAATAGAGATCCTACAGCTCGACCAGGAACCGCAGACATCAGATGCATTCAATCCACCTTTTCGACGAGTCCTGGCGATTAGTTCATTGCGCCTCGCTTGTCATAAATTTGACAATAAGTGGAGACGAGGACAAATTCCTGCCGGGAATTCTGAAGGCCCGCGCAATTTCCAATGAAGACACCGAGACATCAAGAGAGGATAAAACTTTTGTTATAGTCTCAGTACAAAGGTCTCTGAAGAGACCTTTGGTAGACCGAATACGATGAGCTCATAATACCTCTGTTCACTGATTATGCGCTCAAAACTAGCAGACAGTCCATCCGGCAAGGCATGAGAACCATTGGCAGAAGTCGCAGGACCAGCACGCACCTCTCTCTTCAGCTTATCGAGGCGCTCCTCAAGGATGACCTGCTTTGCACCATAGCAACCAGATCGGCGGATAGGCCATCCGTCACCAATCGATTCGTTGTACCCTCAACATCTTCGAGACGCTGTAGCATCTCATTAAATACCACCATCCTAGCGTTAAACGTCTCCAGAATAAACTCAAGACGATCTAGAAGACTAAGTCCTGACTCAATACAAGCAATTCTGTGTTCCAAAGAAGAGATGGATTTAGTTAGAGTAGATAAGGAGGACTTAACTGTGGAAAGAGCCGATGAGATATCTGGGAAGAATGACACCGCATTCCGTCACTCTCGTCAGATAGAGAAAAGGCGACAAAACGCAACTAGCCAAGGAGGCACCAGCCTCAAGCAGAGGCAACGACGGCCCACTCCCAGTCGGAACAACAGGATCGCAATCATCGGAGGGGCGCAAACCATTGTCAGCGCCACAAAAAGCGCAAGGGCTTACGTAAAATAAAGCGTTTACATTTGGTACATGTCAACTGACTCATGCTAAAGTACACGAAATTAGACACAGTACAAGAGAATGTGTTTACGCGTAGGATCGCACAACAAGGCACATAGCAATTTAACAAAATAATTGTAATATTTATAACTGTGCCTGTCCTTTAAACAAAGGCAGAAGCGAATAACGAATAAGCAATAACGATAACTAATATAACGGCTAGATTTGAACATAAAATTATGATGTGATTATAGAAATTATTATGCAATAATAAAATATTACAAGAATGGAATGAAAAACGCACAACTAACGCAGTACAAACGCACTAATAAGGTATTGGGTCGTCCGGAAAGTTCGTGCGTATTTTCCGCACGGTTGTCCGGAAAGTCCGTGCGGAAAATACGCACGGACTTTCCGGACGACCCAATACATTGGCATTTTTAAACTTTCAACCGCATATTGTCCTTGGATCCATTCCTTAGATTTCAGCCTTTGCGATTTTTTAAATATGTGTGTTAAAATTAAAAACTTTGAAAAGCCATTGCATTTCTATATTCTACAATGTTTAAAGTATGTTCACTAATTTTTGTGATTTTAAAAAACAACTTGCTATAAGTATGGCAATCAATTAAAGTTGGGATTATTTGCTCATTAGTTGTGACCAACATAAAATTCTCAAGAGGTGTGATCACAAAAGATTAATAAGTAAAAATTGTGTGTCTTTATGAATTTTATTGACATATATATGTGTTTTATTGTAATTTATATTAATTGTTATATTTTTTTTACTTTTTTAAACATCTCACTAGGATAATTATTAGAAGAAATACGTATGCCAGAGTAATTTGATATAAGTGCATTAGGATTAGTTAAATTAGTATTTTACGTATTTTAAGCCTTGCTTTATTAACACGTTTGATTCGTTTTACGTTAATAACAGTTTATCTACTTATTACAAAAATATTTACCTGCAAACAAAGCACTCGAACATTGTTATGAATTTATTTTAACACATGTAATATCTTGCTATTAAATTATTATTTTGTTATATGCTTCGATATTAATTATGAGTACAAACAGATTTCATATAAAAGGAAGAACAATTACTTAATAAAAATATCATTGCATATTTGTATGATAATCTTGAAGTTGCTGAGAGGGCTCTCGTGACACATCTTCACCACTTGTCATATGTCATCATACCTGAGCGTGCGAAATGTCAGCTCCGTGATGAGTAAACTTTAATCACTACTAATTTGAAAATTATTATAGCTTCGACGCTATAGTAGTTTTTGATATTAGACTTTTCGTTTCCAAATTACTTCAAGAATCTGTAAGTAGCAGGTGGCGCGTTAGGTTTGAAACGTCCTCTATATACGAATCAACATATTGATCATATGTGTGTATGTTCAGTATATGTCGGCTATTTTATAAATATAATGCCTTTACTAGCAAGTATTACATTTATAAAATATATAATATTATGATCTATCGATCAATTTTATAAATGTAATGCCTGCTAGAAAAGATATTACATTTATATTAAATAATTTGACGTTGATACAACACACGGTGTTACATACACAATATATTTTTAGAAGAATATGAATTTTTGAAGAGTATGAATGGACAAATATTTATGAGTGCATATAACAATAATTTTATAATAAATAGTACAATATAAACTTATAATTAATAAGCGTTGCTATACAAATAATATCAATATAAGGTAAATAAAACTATAAAATAAAAGTGTAATTTATAATAAGAATTGCTTATTATATTATTCTTTTATTTTAATAATGCAATTAAATTCAATATACATATAATTCAATATATATATAAAATAAATTAATCTTTAGCATTTACAATATTCTAACTATTAAATTTGGCAACGCTCAATTTTATATTCTCCAGTTAATCTCTAATTAACAATAAGTGATAATTTTATCAAAATAATATTCAAATCAATATATAATACTGTGAAACAATTATTTTATCTTTAGCTTGTGAAATATCATTTTCGAAGTATTTTTTGACGTTGAAAACAATGCTGTCCTCAGAATTTGGCTGGCACGTCACATTTCTGAGAAAATTGGAATAATATAGGTGGAAATTGACAATTTTGATCACTTTTATAATGATATTGTGGTTAAGGAAATTTTATTTTACCAATTTTATGTACACTCTCTCTATCTTAAAGTGCTATTTTTGTATCTTCAAAATGGGTTTTTTTTTGTTTCTGTACGATTTTTTATGATCAAGTTACATGGGTTTGAAGTTATCATGGGTTTTATTATCATTTCTAAAGTTTACTCGAAAAAGCTTATTTGGACTACGTTCCATTAAAAAATTTTTAAAATTAAAAATTTAAAAAAATAATAAAAATAAAACAAAAATAAAAAATTAAAAAACAAAAAAAATTAAATAAAAAAAATATACAAAAAAGGAGGAAATAACAAAGATCGTGATGTACTTCGAAACCACATGTTGTGGCTGAATGATTTTCTAGCGATCATCCATGCTAATCTCGGAATGTCAAATCTAAAGGTGCATTCACATGCAAGCGTCAACCAGCGGAAGCAGCAACCGATCAGCTAGGCGATACGAGCAGTGGTGTAAAAATTATTTTCTATGTTATCGCAAAATTGCCTCGTTGATTAGTTGCTTCCGCTGTTTGACTTTTGATGCTTTCATGTAAATGTACTTTAATGCCTACTGCACACTGGCGCAATAAGCGATAAGCGACGAGCGATCCAATAAAAGCTTTGCTTTGCGTCGTCATGTGAAAAAAAGCAGATCTTTTATTGACTCGCTCATTGCTCATCGCGTCCAGTGTGTAGTAGGCATAAGAAACACAAATCAAAATATGACACTTGCTAGCTACACATGATCAAGAGATACGGTATTGTCTCGCGCTAAGTGAACGCGCAGCGCGACAGCGCGAGATAGCGAATGCCTAATTTCAAATTCACGTAACTTGGTCATAAAAAATCGTGAACAAACCAAAGAACTCATTTTGAAGGTAAAAGATAGCACTTCAAGATACAGTGTAGACAAAATTGGCAAAATAAAATTTCCTTAACTGCAATACCATTCTAAATATGGCCAAAATTGTCATCTTTGGCCTATATTACCCCATTTTGCTCGAAAATGTAATGTGATAGAATTTTTTTGAGGATTCAAATGGAGCGGCTAAAAATCTTCGAGAAATAACACTCCACATGTTAAAGACAAAAAAAGTCAAATTTTGTTTCTCAATGTAATACGAGTACAACAAAGCAAACATCGAATATCTACTTGGGATATCTTGGCATTTTGTATTTTGGTAAGCTTGGTCCTGTCTCTCTCTCTCTCTCTCTCTCTCCCCCTCTCTCTTTTCCTCCGATTTATTCTCCTTTGAATTGCTTTACACGTTACACTCATATCGAACAGATAGATATGAGAGATAGATTTTTACCTTGCTCTTCAAATCTGCGCTGGCACAGCGAGCACTTAGAGTCTCCAAAATCATCGAACTCGTCCTCCTCAACCACGATCTGTCCGTCAGCTGCAACAAAACAGCCCACGATCTTTCCTTCCTATTTTTTGTTTGTTCTTTTTTTCCATATTCCTACAGCTTCTGTGTGTCGAAAGGAGAAACGAATTTTCACAGAGCCGCGAAATAAGCTCTAACAAGAGAAGACTCAGAAATGTATTTCACGGATTTTTACCAGCTTTTTCTAGTCTAGTAACTTTTTTTGGTTATTTTGGGGAATCAAAAAATAATCTATATAAAACCGTAAATTGCACCTTGGCGTTATTAAAAAAAAGAAAAATAATTTTATGTCACGGTGACGGATCGTTTTCAAATCAGACGGAATCAGTAGATATTTAAAAAATAATTAATTTTTATGTGTATATATATATATATATAT